CAGTTTTAAATTATACATTATATTATAATATAGTAACAATTCCGAATTAAATCTAAATTTAAGCAATCATCATAAAAAATCATTATACTCCTTTAAAGAACATTGCTTCGACATGTGATTTTCTAAGTAAAATATTCTTTTACTCTTAATTATATAATAACTTTATTATACTTCTTGATGCAGCTGCTTTATAATCAATTAGTGATAAAACTTTTAAGTAGAATACGATAATTATTTGGTTATTATTGATTTTGCTTACATGAAAGCCGCTTTGTTCAAATGTGATAATGTTTTATTCTTTGAGGTATCATATTTTTGTGTTTTTGTTTTCTGTAATACATTGTTTCATATCTTATCGATTTGTTGCGGAATATACAATTATATTAATTTTCATTTATACATTATTTTTGTTTCTCTTATTGTATTGTTAAACTCGTAAATTAAATATGCAAATAGTATTTAAAAACTATCTTGTCCAATATAGTTCTTTTATTTTAAATATTTACCAAAGTTATCAAAAGTCTCTTAATATTATGCAAATGTGTATAATATTTTAACTTAAATAAATAATATTAATTGATTATTTACTAAGATATCAGATATTGTATTTTTCTTTGTTATGAATTAGATTAAAAAGTGTAGGTGGTCTCACTTTCAATAAAATGACTGTAAATATTTTTATAAAACTTTTTGTTAGGTGCTTTTAATGAATGTTAGTGGTCACATTAAGATCTTCTAAGAAATGATAATTTTTTCGTGTATAAAAACATATCCGCGTATGCGTGAATATCTAAGCCTACGTATTCTGTTGTGACGAAGCCTACTGGATCAGCAAAATACGCTTTCGAGCGAAATAACGATATAATTATTTATGTAAATGTATTGATTTTGAAGGTCCTAAGCATTTGCATTCTATCTGATAAATTTAATATAAAAATAAATGTTAAACAATAATCCTTAATCTGAATCGTTTGAATTTTATTTCAATATTTATTATAATCTGTGTTTGTAGGATAATGAAAATTGTCATTAAACTATAGGAAATAAGATGTAAACATAATTTTAATAACTAATTCCTCTAAATATTATAATACTACTTTTGAAATATTTGGACATACATAAATACATGCATATTTTTGACATATTTATTGACATAAATAAGATACATGTAGTTCTTTTTATTTTGTGATCGTTCGAATATTAAGTTTTTCATATTCAATTCATGGAATTTACATTTAAATATTATGATACAAGATATTTATATATTTATACATTAACATTACCGTTCATTAGTAAACTAAAAATAGAGCCCATAATTTATTAATACCAATAATATTCATTTATAAAATATTAATATTGTTGTTACAGTATATATCGAGTTTATTTAAATTTTTTATTTTTAACTTTCTATCAGTATATTTTAAGTGATATTTTTTTGCAATTTTTAAAATTATCATTAACAGTGGGAGATATTGAATTGCAATAAATTTATAGTTATATGCCTTCGATTTAATGGGAATATAATTCTAAATTTTATTTATTATTTTATTATTAATCGAAAACAAAATCGATCATTGAAATAAGATAATTATCAATATCGTAAACTTATTTTCTTTATCACTTGAATTACAGACTAATAATTTATTCAGAAAATATATATTTTCTTAATATAAAATTATATAGAAATTGCCTTTAAAATAATATCTCTGTACTAATTTAATTAATAGCCATTTTATCTATTCAAATCTTGTTTTTAAGAAACTCGTTAAATCCATTCCATTATTGATTAATCCATAATTCAATAAAAAAAGATTAATTAATAATTAAATATATTTGCCATTTCACGTAAATGACAATAACTGACGTTCTCTATTTTTTGAAAAACAGTATAATTTCTAATTGTTTAGAAGTAAAATGACATCGATAACATATGGAGGTTGAAGATTTTTTATTGCATAGGTAAGATTTTATTTAAAGTTTTATAATTAAAGAATATTAAAATATTTAAAGAAAAAAAAACTCAAACGAATTTTCACTAATCCATAAACTTGCATATGAAATGTATAATTTGTTCTGTAAGCAGTTAATTCGTCGATGCAATATAGCACAATATAGGGCGTATCAACAGTTTTTGGTATTTTAATTTAATAAAGATAGAAATGACGAATCTACAATCTTAATTTGAGTAAAAGCCATATGACGAATATATATATATATATATATATATATAAAACTTTCCCAAATCTATTAAAAATTTAATCAACTTGTTTAATGAATTAATTTAATTAATCTAATGTTAGTTATGTTTATTAAATTACGTACTTCTACATTCGTAATTTGATAATAACCGTATAATCATACTTACTCACTTTCTATAAATTTGTTTATTAAAGGGAGATATCTCAGTATCTCAATATCTTAAATAGACAACGTCTTATTCAATTATTATGTCTAGTATAATTATTTTATGTTATTTTGAATATCGCTTAATTCATTCGGTATATTACAATCTTATAAGAAATATCGAAAAAAATAATATATATATACATACAGCATTTCAACGATAATGCATACTTAAATTCTGAAAATACACCATTTATCGCAAACTATACGATAAATCTGTTATAAAGTGGATTTATTTTTTAATTAATTTTCAATTCTAATAATTATAAGTAAATATCGACCAGTATATCTGAGGAAACGATTGGTATAATCATGATTCTGTGAGACACGCGAGTTTCTTGCCAACCTTATGCAAATATACGCTCTGAAAGCTGCATCAGCCAAGGAGCTTTCCCAGGTGAGACGTTTTCATAGTTCTTGTTGATGATTTCCTTCGTTTCAAGCGATCATCGCACGAAGATTCAAAGGAAATGGCCAATCCTAGCTGTCCGATGGACAACGACACGTACGATTGCGCGTGCACAAACGAATGGGAAACGCACGTGAATTTCTAATTTGTCGCGAAATTACGGAAGCTCGCCCCTCAATGTGAATATTAATATTCGTAGAACACAACCGGCTTCCAGACTTATACGAGCAATTTATTTTTTCGTTTTAATCCCCATGTTTTATTACAGACAGGTATAAAGCTTTTTAAATTCCCTCTGATTTTCATTAATATTTCTTGCGTGTTCATTAGCTTATTCAAACGAAGGGGTCACATGCTTACTTACTTGCTAAAACTTCGAAGCGGCTTTCTTTGTAAACTTAAGAGACAGACGATAGTACAAGTCTTCGTTCGTACTTGGCTAAATAGTAACGATTGCGTAGTATATTACAAATAGCATTTTGAGCTTTTTTATAATTGCCGTTTGCAATGTAATTCGTGGCTAAAAAATGTCTTCGTCATTGCTCGTACATTCGGCGCTTAATCCTCGCGTAGGGAAACAAATTTCAATCGAACAATATTGGACATTTATTTAGAACTTAGAAATATAATACTTTGCAAAGCTTTCTTTCCACCACTTATTTAAGACGAACATTAATATTAAACGAGTGAATTTAAATTCAACTTAAAATCTCAGCTTCATTAAAGTGTCCCCTTCCCCTCCCTGAACGACATACCATCGGAAATGAATCAGAGAAATTTAAGGAACGAAATTATTTGAATTCTTATTTCTTCCTTCGAAATAATTATCGCATCTGTCAACAATTAATTTAATAAAATTTACAAGTTCTTTTTAGCATTTGATATAAAGGTTTTTTGTTTCTTAATATACGTACATGCTACGAAAAAAATTTGTTTCTCCAATTTAAATGTTATAAATCATATTTTTATTGCTGCATTTACATTAAGGCAATTTTAACAATAAGTTCAATTTGGACAATTACTTTCATAAATCCGTATATATTTGTACCACAGGAATTTTTAAATGTTAATCAATAAACCTTAAACAATTATTAAATAATCTGTACACGTTAATTAGAAAATTACAGAAATTTATGTCTACCGAACACATTACGTTAAAACATTTCGATTGTCATTGCAATCATTAAAATAACAGTATTAATTCAAAATCTTTGATTTTTCACTGATAATATTTGTATGATCGAAACTTTAAGATTTTTAAATAAGGTATCATTAATTTTTTTAAAAAATTACTCTACTATTAATTTAATTATGATGTAATTTGTAATTTCAATTATAAGATAGATTATACAAACTAATGGATTAATATGGTAAATAAACAACTGTAATCGATTAAAACTTAGTAACATATTAAATAAAAGGAATTGATATCAATTTATCCGGATGTATCTTCTTGAATTAAACAAAAATTTCTTTATCTTTAGATTTAATTTGAATATCTGTTATGATTCGATCAAATATAGCATCAATCGATTATCGAATGTACAATGCATGATTAACAGAAATAAATAAACCTCATATAAGTAAAAGTTAAAGTAACTAATTAATATTCGTCTTTATAAAATTGAATGGAATGTATAATAATTATAGATAATGTAGGAAGAATGTTCAATCATAAAGACAATTTTTAATTTAAAAATGTTTTTGCAATTAAATGCTTATTTTCCATTTTAAAATCAATGTTATCAATATTATTCCTAATAATTAAGTTTTAACACTAATTTTACCTTATTTTACTTATTTTTCTTATTTTTATTCACGTTGCTTCTCACATATTTCTTTAGCTACGAAATAATAAATCTATATTTATAAAATAATCTTTATGCAAAACTATGTATAAGTGAAATTCAGTGTTTTATTATCATATGCTGGACAAAATTATCACGAAAAAATCAGTCTGTACTGGCATTCGATACTAAAACTACAAGGTCCATGTCGTCGGCACGGCAAACTGTCCACCGACCTATTTATTTCATTTTGTTTATTTTCTATGTATTTCATAATAATAAGTCTTTGCATATACAAAGACTCTCTACTGAATGAAGAAAGTGAAAGGACGAAGTAAATACACATGTATCCACGCTTAAGAGGCAAATGTTAATTATTAATAGGTACTCGTCGAACCTACCTTCTGGTACACGAATGGCCTGGTGAGGGCGAGCCATCGTTCACCAGCCATGACGATGGCCACGCATCCGCTAAAGAGCCCAAACAGCCGCCAAACAACGTGCAAATAGCAGAAACCATTGCCGGGCCAGTATCTCGACATGTACATTTGCACCCAGGTACCGAGCATGGCTATCAAATCGTTGATCGTCAGGCAGCGTAGCATCAGCAAGTGCTTCCGGTTTCTCCTCTGAAGGAAACGGGAGAGAAAGAGGCGATGATAAAGGGAGCCGATTTCATTTCGTTAAATATTCGATTCTCGTCTGTCGATTTTACCGCGTGTTTCGACATGCCCGTGCCACCCCAACCCCTTCCCCGCCTATTCCACCTATTCCACCCTGCCCATCCCAACAACACCGCCAATCGTCACAGGGACCCATCTCAAGCTGTTTCCTTCAGCGGCGCATCTTGAAAGGACCTTTTTGCTTGAAACGATACCGCATTTGCCAATCTTACATGCAACCGACGAAAAAGTCTTTTCAAAATGCAATCGAACGTCATTTGACATTCTAGGCAGATTTCTTATTGATATTTCTCCGAGCGAGCATAATAGGTTTTTAATTGAAGAGCTTTTGAGGTTCTTAACGGTACATTGTTATACCGATTGACGATAAATCTTTTGTTTTTTATTGTATCACGCGTTACGCTAACCAAGTTGAAAACCAACAATCCTCTCAATGACCATTGGCTAATGAACTTATAATGCAACTTAACGGCATTGCGATAAGCGATTTGCTGTCATCATTGTCTTTAAAAATTGTATTCGTTTCTTGTGCTTTTTAATATCCAAAATCAAATAAATTACGAATGGTTCACTGGAAGTAAAATCTCGTACATGGAAAGCATTTCAAAGAGCTTGCAAAATACTGTATTTATCTCTTGGCTGCTCGAATGATTTTATTTGACAAATAATGCTGGGATTAAATTCAATTGGGGCAATGTAATGTGAATATAATGAAAATAAATTTATTAATTAATGGCAATTGAAAGGGCACGTATGACTCTTTTTGATACTTATTTACCGCTCGCTTGATAATTGCATCTTATATCGGTACTTTGATTTTTATCAAAAAGTTTGGAAGAAAATAGAGCATAATTGTTTATCAATGTCAATGAGTAAAGAAAACGGAAGTTGTGTACATCTTTTTCTTTTTTTTTCTATTCAATTTTTTCTTTTTTTTTTTTTTTTTTTTTGCTGAATTTACGAGTATACGTTTTCTTTTATAAATAAAATTAAAGATATTCGATAAAGTGTCGCGAGTTTAGAAAGTATACAGAAGTACAAAAGCTTTACTTTCCAGCACGAATGAAAAAAAAAGAGAAAAGACGAAAACGAAGAAGAAGAGGAGAAAAAGAAGATGAAGAAGAAAAAAAATCATGCTTTGACTGATAATACAAGAGTTATTATGCAAATAGCATCTTCTCCGCTAGATATACATTAATCAAATTTATAAAAATAAACCAACCAACCAACCAACCAATCAACCAAAGCATTGAAACTTCGAGCACCAAGACAACATGAATTATTGTGATTACGGATAAAACGAATCGCGCGATAAACTCTTAAAAAGCGTTAAAAATCTGCATCATTACTAAGAGTATGAAATTCCAATGCATCCGTCCAATGGAATTCTAAAATTTTTAATTTTCAATCGAGACAAGGTCGACGAGCATCGTCCTTGCTCCCATTCGCCAAAGCAACCATGTACACGCGATATCCCTCTACCACTCCCATCCCAACCCCATAACATTTTCCGTGCGCATCACATCAATGATCCCTCTAATCATCGTACCATGTAATTACAGGGGCAGTCGTACCTTATCCTTGTGCAAAAGTATGATCAAGGCTGAGATATTTCCCAGGACACCGATAATATAAACCAAGTTGAGCACGATAAATGACACAGGAGAGGACCTCTTGGTGACGTAGGTGGCGTTACGGCCAGCGTGGAGAAGCCCCGTGATTACGTGCTCCGTAACGTTATCCATCACGACTCCTTGCCCTTGCCAGACTACCTTCCTCTAGTTATTTCCTTCTTGTTATCGGATGAGCGTCGATGCCCGGCATTCGTTAGCCCCCGCGCAATACTCGTTAATCGGTCGGTTAGTCGCCGATAATGAGCCTGCGTCACCCCTCCCTCCCGATGAAGATAATTATCGCAGTCAAGGTCGTCTCCTCAATAGACTCTCGGCCCTCCTCATTCTTAATGTCTCGGCGACGATTTTCCTCGCGACGGCCAACTTGTCGACGCACTCTGACCCTCGGTTGCCCCGAGCACTTGATAGACCCCCAGGAGTCGAGTGAAGCAGCCGTCGTCCCTCCGTTCGCTAATGAAAATCAGTCGTCCGAACTGAAGCTGCCAAGGCAAGTTGCTTAAAGGACCACGACAGTCTCTCGACCCGTACCGACGTAATCGTCACCTCGCATTCAAAGTTGCGACGATACGATACGGCCCCGAAGCTCAACTTGAACCTTGCCGTCGAACTGCAAAGCCAAATATCCCGACCGAGGATCGCGATGAATCCCGTGGCGCAGTTTCCGCCTCACTGCTCGAAGCCACGCGGTCCTCCGCAGTTTTGTTTACAATGACGGGAGCGCGCGCGCACCCGATTAGCTCGCTCGCGCCTCCCACCCCCTGCTGGCCAGCCCGTTTTATTCTTTGACTTTCCTTTGACGGCCTAAGCACTGGTAGCTTTCGTGAGTGTACGTGTCGCCGCTGTACCGGCGCCTCCTTGTGGCACGCGAGGGTCATTGAAAGTTATCGTCGACAACGTGACGTTTGGCGATTGAAAGGGTCGGGAACCGATGCCGGGACGTGACGAAGAAGTACGGCCCTGGTGATTGAGCGAACCTCGCGCGGGAGGAGTAGGGTTAAGGGGAGCTTTTGCGACTCGCAGGTTTCAAAAAATTCCTACGGACATCCTAAAATTATTAGATTAATCAGATGACCAGAATTATCTATGGATTCAACGGTTGACATAATTTTCGCGCGTTCTTATGTTTTGCAAAAGTAAAAGATAAACAACTCACGATACAACGAGATAATGAATCAGACTCCATTTCCTTATGGAATTACAGAAAGAGGAGCAGTGCGGCGGGCGATCTTACATAATAGCAATTGTGCATTTATGTTTAATAACAACTTTATGCGTATACACACGCCCATCAATTTCCAATAACATTGTATTTATCCATAAGATGATATTAAATAATACGGTCGACGTTGCAAGTGTAGCGACATTATAATACAATTAACATTTATCCGATTAAAGTTATGAAAAATTTTAAGGCAAATAAAAAAAGTCATACAAGTCAAAAGATTCGCAACTTGTTAAATGAACCAAAAAAAACAAAACTTTTTATATAAAGGTGATAGACAATATATATTAAAACGATCTAAAAAAATACCCTTATTTTCTACGATAATGCCTGTATCGATGCTTTTGAAAATACGTTATAAACAATATAATAAAAAAATCTTATAAACTAATTCAAAATAATATAGATCAGTACATTTTAAAAATAATTTTTCTACATGAAAGTCATTAAAGTGGCTTATATAAAGATTATAAGAAAACACGAGATATGAACGATCAATAAAAAAACATTTTGAAAATATCTACAGATATTTTATGTTAATTACTCCAAATAAGTGAATAATTTTTAGTACGAAAAATAAATCAATCTTCATTCGTAATTTCACTGAAATATAATAAAGTAATTTATTATTGTAATATTATATTGAGAAATCAATGGATATAGTGAAATTGCAATATATAACTCCATAAATATCCGTATTGTCAAATTAATTTTATACCAAATGAAGTTTTACAATAATATTTGGTATTGGATGTACATAAAAATTTCGTAGAATTATAATCAGCAAATCGAAATTAATTTTTTTTTTTTTTTTTTTTTTTTGTTACACGTTCGTAAAATTAAACCTAACTTTAAGTAAAAGTTTGTTATTAAATAAAATTAAAATAGTTTCACGAGAATGGTGTTTTGTTATTCCAAACTAGTAAATCTGCACTTTATTCATTTCATAATAGCAATATTTGTTACTTAACAGTTAAATATATCGACTTTGAATAAAACTATATTTCCATGCAATATCTATGATATAACGCCAGTTAAAGCTTATTAAAGTCTATTACAATTCATTAACACTTTTTGCTTTTACATATTTTCCATCTTAATCGATTGCACATTTTACAATTATATATTAATCATTTGAAAATCCTTTTGGAATAATCGAGGGTACGCAATTATCTATTTAAACTATAATCAATAATACATCTGCTTAAAATTAAATGATATTAGTAAAATAAAAAGTTTGATAACATTAAATAACTCATGAAAAAAATCTTCAATTTAATATAGACATTTATATGCATATAAACTAATTAATTTCGTCTGATGTTGCACAAATGTAACTACCCCGTAGGTTTGTGAGGTACGAAGTTCCCTTAATCTTTTTCAGTTTTTACACAATATTTTTATTTCAATTCGCTCAACTCCCATTAAAAATATCGTTATAGATAAATAAATAGTAACTGCAGTGACTCTATTAATGTATCATAAATCGTTATATCACTAAATTATCTGTAACCTTTCAGCCGAACTTTCAGCAATACTTTATTCCAAATTTTATCTAAGCCTCCCTATATCTTTTATTATTTTCTCGTGCTCGAGATGTGAATATTTATATACGTAACGAATCATGCATATATGCGTGCATTGCGCCACGCATCCATTGTCTTCCATGATAGGTTTGTTTGACCATTTATAGCTTCCATTCTCGTGCACTAGTCGACCTGATTCGCAATTTCATGGTCAACGAAAATCTTGAGGAAGTTATGTGAGCAAATATATTCGATATACCTAGAAAGAAATAATATAGATGGCTTTTCTTTTTAAAATTTTTATTCGATATTGTCATATTTAATTATTAATAAATAATTATTTTGACACTGCGTATGCAATAAATTTAATATCATTACAGTGCACTGTACGGAAATAAAATTTAATTCTTAAAATAACGTCTTAAAATATTGAATGAATTTATAATATAAATAATTCAGTGATAAATTTATTATTATTATTATTATTGTTGTTGTTGTTATTTTTGTTATTTTAAATGTAGTTATATAATTTAAAGAAATTTGAGATATTTTTTTCTTTTCAAATAAAAGTTTATATGAATATTCTGAAAACACTTTTTTATAAAGAAAGTCTATTGTATTTGATTCACTAAATAAACATTTTACGTGTTACAATCGTCTTATTAATACGACGATAATTAATATTTAAATACCGAAGTTTATAATAATTTTAATATATATATATATATATATATATATATATACATAATTAACAATCACCAAAGTCAGTGAAAAATAATTAATTCGTAAAATAATGTTTAATTCTCAATGATTAATAAAATATAATTAGACATACAATTTCGAAATGAGCAACGACAAACATACGAATATAAAGAGTCTTGCCTATCTTTTATGCCACAAACCTCAATACATACGTCGTTCACTCTTATGAAAATGTATAAAGATACTTGTCGATGCAAATATCATGATTCGCATGGCGCCTCAATGAAGACTGACTTATCTACGATGTCATCGTCATCGTTATATAAAATACAAATTACCACGTCGGAAAATATAGAGGTAACACTTTCTTGAATAGCTACGTCTATCGCTTCTTCAACCACGTCGACGTGCTTTTGTACATTGATAAAAGCTACCCTTTTGAATTCTCTTATTACACTTTGGCTATTATATGTATAACTATCTTAATATCATTAAATAATATTTCATGTGAAAAAACACAGACACACGCAAGGAGATACACACGCGCGCGCGCGCACACACACACATTCAATTATTTAATTGAGTAATATAAGAAAAAAAATTTTAATAAATAGAGAATATTGATATGGATATTATTTCCCGAGGAAATAAGGTATGATAGTTATGATTCATATTTTACAGGCAGTAAACTCATATACTTATCATAACATTCATTTATAATTATTTTTGAACTGTTAAAAGGAAATTATAAGTAAAATTTTAGAAATTGAAGGTTTGTTTTCATTTTATCTCTACATTGTTAACGAACACCAATGAAAATAAGAGAAATAAATCAATAATATTTATGACATTAAATATATCATTTTTAACATACACTAATTAGACATAAGATATGTATTTAATCAATCTTTTTCAATGTTCAAATTATTCTGTCCAATTACATAACTTAATACGGAATATAATAATATTTTTTCCTTTAACATCATTTTCATAATTATTGTTATTCAGTATTCATGTATAATAAATAATTACTTAAATTGTGCTTCCATTAATGTAGGGCACTTGCTTCATGTTCTATAAACAAAGACTCATTCTTGATATTACTTTCATTTAATTATTTTTAATCTAACTGTAAATGTTAAATATTACTTCAAAATTTTCGTTTTAAATATTAAGCATTAATTCCAATAAAAATAATATTTGCTTTTTATGAAATCAGATATTTTTAACGAACGTATACGAGATATTTTATCCTCTAAATCATTACAATTATCTCCATACATACGTTTAATCAATGAATAAGAATTTTTAATGTTATCACTATAACGAAATATATAACCAAAATAAATGATAATGAAGAAATGATGAATGTGAAATAAGGTAGAAAAAATATTTCTGTAAGTATCGAAATACTTTAAAAATTATAAAAATATGATGTGTATATTGTATAAATTGAGAATAATAAGTATTGTATTTTTGTTAATATTTAAAAACTAAAGTAAAAGAATTTAATAAATGAGTGAAAAATACTATGGACATCGGAAGCAGTAAAGTGCTGCAGTAATTTCAGGCAGAACATAAATCTGGCCTAATAGAAGTAAATAAAGCGTGCAATTGATAAAATCACGATAGTGACACGGTTAAGTAAATTCAAAGTCGGTCAAGTTTGGATAACCGTAACAGGCCGGGGTAAACAGTCGTTGGTCTGTAATAGTTGCCGTAGTTTGGTATAATTCAATATAATGTACATGAAGGGTAACCGTACATATACGAAGGTCGTAAAATTCCAATGGACATACCTTGGTTTATCGTTATGGTAAAGCTCAGATTACGTGTATTACGGTAAAATCTATACCACATGTATGTATCAACTAGCGTATATTTGATAGATAAGTATAGATCAAAAGCACTTTAATAGATTTAAATAGATTAAAAGGTGTTGACAAAATTATGGCACAGTTAAATAAATTGTTAATAAATAAGTTTAATAAAGCTTTTTCACGATATCTTCGTACAACGAATGAATAAGGGCAAAAGAGAATGAGCAATTGTAATTAAAGATTTTAATGGAGTTGATGAGCGAGGCAAATGAAAAATATGATATATGAGAGAAAAAAAATGTATTAGAATAGAGCATAGAAAATAATTATGTTTTAAATATAAAATTTATTTCTTTAAATTTAATGTTGTTATAAAAATTTATTATTT